CACAACAGCACCATCTACCGAGACTAACCTCCTTCGGTGAATGCTAGTATGCCTTGAAAAATACGTTAGATAAAAGATATATTATTCAACTGGTATAAGTACTATGTTATTAGTGACAACGTGTTGAGTAAAAAGGAAAAGGAAACTTTTTTAATCTTTCCATGAAAACCGTTAAACTTTACCTATGAATGTTGCTTTTCTCAAAGCTGAGGAAAACACTGCTTCCATGTCAGCAGTCAAGGTTGAGAATAAAATCAATTATCATATAAATGATATTTTGTGGGTGATATGCTTCATTTGTCCTGCTGCACACACATATTAAAACAAAGGGGAAAATCAACATAGTTGTTCCATCTTGGTAGTATATAGCAATCTCCTACTGAGATATACAAGTTTTCAGCACAATAATTAAGAATCTACACTTTTTTTGGGAAGGTGGTGGTTTGAATCTGCTTCTTTATAGACTAGATTCAGCAACGCATGACTGTGAACTGTCTGAGAAGTAGCATCAGATAGCATCCAGCCCTAGTTACTGTATTAGCTCAGTATTTCAAAGCATTTTTATCACCATTTTATGGCTTACAATGCAATTTCTCTTCATCCTGTATTAAATAATCAGCCACAACCACGGCAAGATGATCTTTCAGTATTCTTTTTTAAAATCTCATATATATTGTTTCTAGGCACTCAGCTTAATATGTCTTGACACTGTCTTTGATTCAGTGCCTAAAAATGCACACTCTGCCTGGCTGGTTGCCTGGCTGATTTGCTTAAATCTGCTTTTAAGAAACACTGAAGACATTGATATTCTGTCTCACTTAAACAAATAAATACAGTCTGCTTTGTAGAAAGCAGATACTGTGTACTTCCTCTTTTTGTTCCTGTTTAATAGGATCTGGAGACTGATTAAAGAAAGAAAGAAATAACAAAAATCCTGTAAGAGGTTTTGAAGGAGATAACACTAGATTCATGTCTATAGCAGGTTCTATGGAGCTTCACTGTTTCTGCTTATTACTTTTCTGTGGCCTGATGTCCTTTAGACTACAGTAACAAACTGATGCATATTGATATACAGGTGTTCAAGAAACATCCTCTTTAATCAAACAGTTGAAAATTCATGAGCAGAAAGGAAAACCTGTGCCAAGAATGTAACCCCCACCTGCTGTTGCATTTCCACATGCATCATTTGCACTTGTCTGGACCTTGGGTATGGTCAGCTGCAACTCTGGATCTGTATTTCAACTTTCAATCTCACCTCACTATCACACTTTCCTGCCTCCTGCTTAGGTTTTCTAGCTTTTCTTTTTATTTTTTTTTAAATCTGAATTTTAAGGATTGATCAATATTCATTAAGTAGCACAACATAGATGGAATGACATTATAAAATCTCTGTAGTTTACTATATAACATTTTAATACACATATAATCAAGATGATTTGAAAAGCAAAAGTTACAGGAATGATACAGCAATTGCATGCAAATTGCACTGAGACTACTCAAACTTTTTTTCTAAAATAAGGACAGATATCAGGTGCTGGCCCTGAGTGGGAAACCCTGGTGCAAAGACACAGGCTGGCCCCTGTCAGGCTGGGAGCAGCAATGTGGGAAGAGACCCAGATGCATGGGAATGAGCCAGCAGCATGTCCTGGCTGCAGGGATGCACAGCAGCACCCTGGGCTGTGTTAACAGGGTCAGAGCCAGGATACAAAGGGCGGGATTCTCTCCCTCTGCTTGGCACCTCTACGATTTCGTTTTCAATCATCAGCTGTGTCTGATTTTTGGTCTCTTGTCCAGAACAGACATCAACAAACTGAAATGAGTTCAGTGTTTGGAGACTGGAACATTGTCCTGTGAGAAGGGCTGAGGGACCAGGGTTTTTTCAGCCCGAACAGAGGCTTTGGAGGGATGTAGTACCAAGATGGACCAAGAAGATGGAGTCTGGTTCTTCAGTGGTGCACACTGGAAGGATGGGAAACAATGAGCATAAACAGAAACAAGAGAACTGCGAAATGCATATGGCAACAGTGAAGGAGTGGAACAGATTGCCCGAATAGGCTGTGAAGTCACCAAGCTCACCGCTTTAGAGTGGTGCTACTGTCCCTGTATACACCTTCTTTCTCTCCTTAACTCAAGTACTCCACAGATTCATTAGTGCCTCTTCACTTTTCATTTTTACTGTAAATATGAGCACTGATACCTTCTGGCTATCCATATGCTCAACTACGACAGTTTTAAGCTTCACGAACACATCAAGTTTAAGCTTTAACAATCCAATCGCAAAATGAAAACAAACTCATTCTGTGCTTCATTCAACACTCTCACACATACTAACAGCAATAGTTACAACAGCAGCAACACCCCTTAACCATTATACATACATTGAATTTTTCCAGAAGTTTTCTTGATGAGGCAGACCAAAATATTATGAAAGCCTTCTATTACTAAGGACAAGGCTTGGGTATACACTATGAAAAACCTCTTAAACACTGCATTTTCAGCAATGTACAATGAAAGCAATATGCTTAGCTGATGTTTGAGAAAAAATTTCCCAAGTCTAAGGTGCAACAAAGCTAAAAAATAATCCTATCAGGCATCCAAATAGGTCGTGAAGGGTTGCTCCGGGGAGCAGGAAACATCTACTTGTCCTCCATCTGTGCACAGCCTAACACAGCAGTCTCCTCCTCCATAACAAGGTTCTCAAGCACTGCAGAAAGTAAATCCAAGATTAGGCATAGCAGACTTATACTAGTGTGTGTTACAAATAATGGAATGTGCCCCTTGGCAACAAAAACTGTGTCAGATAACATCAGGCCATGTATGTATATAATTATGCATACAAAACTGGACCCAAGTTGAATAGCTACTTAAAAATATCCTTCAAGGCCACATTTTTAAGTTCCTCAGTTTCACGTGAGCAAAGGTATATGTACACAGAATGGTTGAGGTTGGAAGGGACCACTGGGGATCATCTAGTCCAACCTCCCTGCTCATGCAAGGTTACCTAGAGTACATTGTTCAGGATTGTGCCCACACAGCTCTTGTATAAAAAATAAGAATGAATAATCTTTGCAACTGCATAGTTATCTAACTTATTTATATGCAAAACTGTTTGTTGTGTTTGGTTTTGTTTGGTTTGTTTCTCTTAGCAGCATCTTGTCTGCACTATGGGCTCATTGAAACACTTAAACATAAACATCAGGAAGGTGAATATGAACACTGTATGCATGCATGAGTTTAAGACCCTTTCAAAGTTTGGCTCTAAGATTACTAACAGCAAAAAATCTGAGAAAACCCTTCATGTATGCTGGTTAATGTTAAGGTATGTTTTCCATTCCTTAAGGATCCTGCCAAATTTAAGGGAAGAAAGAAGGGGAGGGAGAGCAAGATATAAAGTACTCATTGTTCCTACTAAGTTTCCTTTTTGGGCTATTTTATTTTATCATTTACAGAGAGTATTGTTTTACTTCAGTAGGGAAGAGAACTTGGATCCTTAATTCAGCAAGTGAACTTTATCCAAGCTTTATGCATACAAACAGTTCCTGTGACTTTAGCATAGCTTACTATAAGTTTGAGACATGCTAAGATGTTCTGTTAACTCAGATCTCTGTGCACATAACTGCCTTTGAAATTATTTTTTTTATCACTTCTATAAAGCATTTGCCTTGTTTGGATCCTAGTTAATGCTATCACTATTTCTCCTTCTCCTTCCTTCCAGTGTGCTTGGCATCCTGCACAGGAAAAGGGGGGAGAAGAAAAAAAGTAAAACCATCAGTATCTTTGCAGTGGGTGAGCAATGGAAATAGTGGAAACAGCAACAGAAAGAAGTAGTCTGGTCTGAGAACAGGTGGGGTTTCTGCCCCTATCCCCCCCCTTTTTTTTTTTTATTTATTTTAATAAAAAAGAAACATGCCTTTATTTTTCTAAAAAGGCTGAGACTTAATCCATTTTTTATATGTAACGCTCATAGTTAGGAGTTGAATGAGAACTGGAAGGAGTTCTGACATTGGGTGTAGGGCTACAGAGAGGGACAATACTTGAGTCTGATCAATGGGACCACAGGACCGAAATTAACTGGCAGAAGGAAAGAGGCAAGAGACTGAAAACACAAGCAAAAGCATCAATGTTGTAAATGGAGTGAAGGAAAGGCAAAACAGTCCTTTGTATCAGCCTCCCTGACACAAAGGATTCAGCGAAGCCACAAAGCCAGGTTATGTAGTTATAAATACTGCTTGCTGTCAGATCAGCGGGATCAGTTCTCTGTCCCCACAACATGGGGAGTGAGACATCTGATTTGAAAGCAGAACAGCTTACACATGCAGGTCACTAGATTTCACAAGATCAGGAAAAGGTACTGGGAGGTCTTGTTTGCAACCACACACTATTACATTTGAATAAACATAACCATTAACAAAAAAATAGTGATAGTGTGACAAGCATCAGATTGCAGCTCTCATGCAACCAAGAGCATGAAATAGAAGATGAGATAAAACAATCTACAGAGAGGTTTCCTAGGGGAAAATAAATAACATATCCTTCAGTAACAAAAATGTGACACAATTGTAGCAAGAAACTTCTCATTTAATCTTTCTCGACTTGCACTGTAAAGCACATTTACCTTTTCTGTACACAGATACCAGTATTTTTGACTGTAGCAGCTGGATTGGACTTGGACCTGAAACAACTGGAGGACCTGCAAAGTTTCCTTGCCTTGAGCAACAAACAATGCAGGGCATGCAATTTTAGCTCACGAGTGGGATGCAGGTTTTCTCAGACTTCCAGTCAGGGGTATGAGTGAATGTGAACAGAAGTCAACCTCTGCTACTAGATTACACCTACCTTACTGCTTGAGTGAGCCTATCAAGTTGTGTGAGATATGACAGGTAAAAATACCAAACCCTATGCCAAGGGCTTCACACATCCACTTCACCGAAACAAAGGAGGTTGAAAACACATCTTGTTTTGAAGGCTCTTATTACATTCAGTACTGTATGCAGGCTTACATTTTTGAGATTAAGCATTTTCTATCAGCTGTACATCCAAGTTCACTGAGTCTGCGCATGTAGGAAGCAGGTGGTAGCAGCAACAGCTCATAATGCAAGGTGTTGTGATGTTTTAAATGGAATTCTCTGTCATGACTCCTGCAATGTTGCACAGTGCATTGTGCACCACTGCACTGTCCCTGACGAAACTATACTAAACCAATCTCAAGGTAGGAGGGGTTTGTTTGTTCAATTACACTTGTATCATGCCAGAACTGAGGTGACTAGGACCCCAACCACACATGGAAAAAAAACATATAGTATTCCTTGTGCTGTATGCAAACACCCAAAACCAGAAGAAGAAACTAAAACCCACACACGAGAGCATGCTTGAGAGGTTCTTAAAACTATTTTATCACGGTAACTGAGAGTGTAAAAATGTAACTAATGATTTGTTACCTGCTCTATTTCATCACAAAAATCATGGTGCATACATTCTCTTCAGCTCCCGAAAGACACAGGCTGGATGCAGCTGGTCAGTCCACCAGCCTGCTGCATCTGCAAGCCTTGAAGCAGATGTGATGGTGCATTGCTCAGAGCCATCCAAGGCATGCTTCTCCTGACTGCAGCTTCACACCACGACCACCTGGAGGCAGAGAGCTGATCCCACATCACCCACATAACCACTTCTGCACAGCTGGGCAGTCTCAGCTCAGTTTGCATGGGACTTTCAGCTCCTCAGAGTTTAGAAGATAGGGTGGTGAGGAAAAGATAGCTGTCACGAAGACTTAAGTGCAAAATGCCAACTTAAATCATGGAAATACAGCCCTGTGAAACTGGTGATTTTCCTCTCAGAACTTCAGCAGTAATCAGCCATCTTTTTATTATGAACCTCCGATAGAGTTGACTGGGGAATGGTATAGGTAGAGCACATATTAAAAAATAATTTTAAAAATCACTATTTATGCTGATGATTTCTTCACAATAGAATCTGCCCTAGAGTTGGCCCAAAATTAAAACTGTTATTAAAAAAAAAAAAACGTTTGAAGTATTTCCATGTTTATTAGGCTTCTTCCAGACATTGTTTGACAGTATGAAGGATGGGATTAAGATGTCTAAGTACTCCTACTAAAGAAAGACAAAACAGCATTTGAGATAATTTGCTTTGCCAGAAACATACTTTAGGGTCAAAATCAGCATTCATGTTGTCTGTTTTTAAACAGAAAACCCTTTCTCCTCTATGGGTTACCTGTTACCACTGTTTTCAGCTTTCAACTAATTTCTCAGAAAAGGCACAAAATTAGACAGCGTGATATAAATGTAAACAGCCATCATTTAAAAAGACAGTGAAAAAAAAAAGGTGTAATTTGCCTGATCAGTCATCATACAGCACAGATATCACTGAAGCTGGTACCTCTGCATTTCTGCATGGGAATGCATGTTACAAAGTAAGATTGGGAATACTGTCCATAGGTATTCAAGTGGCATAGATTACTCCTCAGCTGTTACATTTAGGTCAGGTAGTTTTCTAGACAAGATACCCGCCAAAGAGAGAAAATGAAAATCTATGGAGTTTGTCTAAGGAGAACCTAGGCCTTAAAGAGGCAGGAATAAAAAGTTAATCACTTTGCTGTATTCCACCAAACACAGATAGCAACATGCGGGGGGGAGTGGAAATACCCCCAGGTGCCGCAGGGACATCTCTGCCGGGAGCCCGGAGCCCCTCCTGCCCTCCTCCCGCTCTGCCCTCGGGGCTCTCAGGGCTGTTTCTCATCCGGTTCCCCTCAGCCCCGGCTGCCGGGCATGGTTTGCCCTTCCTTACCCCGGCTTTCCCCGAGGTGCCCGCCCGTGGCTGAGGGGCTCAGCTCTGCCCTGCGGTGGGGCTGGTGGACCAGGCCGGGACCAGCCTCTCCTCACAAAGGCTGCCCCTTCTGCCCACCCTGCTGCTCTCCACACGCACATCAAAACCTCCCTAAAGGCCTGATGCACTTGCTCATAAGAGGTCGTGGTGTTGCAGGAGTCTCTGTCCTTGGAGACACTCAAATCCCAGCCAGACATGACCCTGACTAAACTTGTCGGTGCTGCTCCGAGCAGGGAAGGTGGTCTAGTTGATATTGTTGGTCCATCCAAACGATTCTTATGACTGTATGGCAAACGCTGGTTGTCTTTAGAATTAGTACTCCTCCATCACTACTGTTAAAATTTGCAATAAAGCTGTAGCAATGCAAAGGCATGTCTGCTGAATCTGGACTGAAATACCAAACCGGAAGGTTTGTATTGATCAACTGAAAGCCAACATTGCAGGCTTTATATCCGGAAGCTATCGCCTAATCTCAATGCCTGTGGATACACAGATGCCTTTGCTCTCTGAACAATATCCTAGGGCATTTTGGATGGCAGAGGGAAGGGAGAAGGGAGAGTAAAGGGCCTTTATGAGAACACTGAGTAGTTTTGAGTGGGAAAGTGTCCAGATACTTACTAGAAAAGAATGTATTAACAGAATGTATTATTGCAGTTATTTATACATACAAGTCAAATGTAATTAAGCAGCAAATGCCTCAACTGAGAAAAAAATGAGCAACAGAAAAGATTATCGTATTTGTCTTTTAGCCATGATGTTAATTTAACTCGGTTCCCAGGTTCAAAATATACTATTATTTTGGATTGGTAGCTCACATTTCATTGACAGCTTTTCCCCAAAAGGATACCAGCAGGAGTTTAAATGTATCACTACAATTTGAAGGATGTCAGAAGCTTGGAAACAACAGCACAGCCCTCATTCAGCATTTAGGATAACCTGGGAAAGACAAACCTTTTCTACTGTTTGCCTTCAGAGCTATTGCTCTGGCCAACTTTACCTCATTAGTTTAACTGATGTTTTTCCTTTCTCTAAAAGTTCTTGCAGAATTATTTGTACAAGCAAACACCCTGTATGTGAAGCCATTCACCTGAGAAGAAAGAAAAATTAAGCATGCTTTAGAAACCTAGCATCTTATGTTACTTGTCTCCAGTTTGCCAGGAGCACTGGAGAGACCACTGCGAGGGGGAGGAGGCAGAAGGAAGATAAGGGAGCAAATGGCAGCATGCATCAGCTTTTATATACAGATTAGCCTTTATCTTAAGACGTGAAACTTTCAGACAACACTCTCAGAATATTATCTTAAGTGATTTCAAATTCAAGCAGGATGAACAGAATAGCTGAATTTGAAAGATAAACAGCCTCTTAAAATTACCATTATGAAGGTCTTAAATTACAGGAGATTAGGGATAAATTTGGAAAGCTTCAGGCTAAGAGACCAAGCTTTTCACAATGAGCAGCATTGTATGACTTTTAAGTGTGATTAAAAAAATCACTTTACTTCAGGCGAACATCAGCAAATAACATATATTTTTTTAAGGCCTCAAAAAGAAAAAAAGGGAAATATGAAGGCTGTCTTTCCTTGAGTCCAAAATTCAATAGTGAAGGAGATTAGGGACCACTGTGTTCATTTCAATCCTAAGAGATCTCTGTCTTAAGGAATCTGTAATAGTCACAGCTGAGGAAAAACCTCACTGTGTCTACATGGTTCATTTCTTCCTTAACTTTCAGGCTACTGTTTTGGGTTAGTATCCTAAAATTTTCTATTGTAACCCTATAACTTTATAAATATATTACAATGTCAATGCCTTTGTCAGTCTGAGAAACTATTATTTAGTGTCCAAGTGGGAACACACGTGCCCCTAGAAAAGGAACTGTAAAAGTGGTTATGGTCCATTTACTTTTAAACTGTTAATTTAAAGAAGTTCCTATACCATGGGTGTAATACTGAAAATTACATGTAATTTTAAAACAGACATCACCTGGAAAAATGACTTGCAGATTGCAGGACATTGGTGAAAATACCCTGATGCCATATGGAGACAATTTATGGACTATATTCACCGTAATGGTAATATACAGGAGAAACAATCACACTGAATTATTTCCCCTTTCACAGGTATAGATAATATAATAATGGAGCTTGATTTCATTTACAGACTGACAAGCATTAACCTTTATGAGGTGTTGGTGTTTCCACTGTTAAAAAGAAACTGAAAGTTCATATTGGAAAGAAATTTCATTTGAAATAAAATGCGAAAGGCAGGTCATTTCAGTACCTTAGTTGTAAGATGCAAGCTGGCTTTTACAGATGAGGGAAAAGACTTTATAAAGAAAACTAAATGATACTTTGATGATATAACTAATTGGCTTAGCTTTGAGAGGTAATTGACTAAGTTAAGGGACTAACATGAATCTTATCAATAGATTTATCTAGGGAATGTGTTCTTCTCAAACATCAGCAGTGCAAACTTGTCTCAGGACCAAAGGACGATATTTGGTTCCTTTCAGTCCTCATAACTGCATCACCAAACCCAAATTAGTTTCCCAGACTATTGGACTATTTTATAAAATAGTATGTGCTTAAATTCATTGCATGAGTTTACATATGCACCAAAAGCTTACAATGAAACTTTTAAACATAGAAGTATCGTTTGGGTCAGTACATATATACCCCCATTATGCTCAGTATTCAGATCTCAGAGGTTTTAGAGATTGAAGGGAATTAAAAGGGCATATTGCAAACATACAGAGACAAAGCATTTCCCAAGCATATGATTATTCACAAAGAAATCTTCTTGTTCTAATTCTTAACAATAGATACATTTATCCTGCAGTAACACTGAACATCTTCTGAGGAGAAATCCCAGTCCAAAACAAGCTCAAGAGCCACATTGTCACCTCAACCAGAAATTTCCTGGGCTGAACGGGTAAAATTGGAGCCCATTCAGCCCAGCTCTAGCTGGAAGGACTAGCATCAGAGAGGAAAAGGTGAAGGAGCTAAAATAGTCACAAGTGGAGAGATTAAAGAAATGTCTTTGAAGAAAGATGGAGATGGTGAAAATTGTCAAGAACAGCCCTAACTGCTTTACTTAGAGGCTAAGTGCAAACAGGAACAGATAAATAAGTCACACTCTGACAATTTATGGCAGTATAGGCATTGCGTGGGACATAGGGAAGAAATATTTCAGAAGTGGATGTCCTTCTCAAAATGGACTGAAATCTTCCTTGTGATTAGAAAGGAAATTAAATTTTCTTTT